ACCCTCCTCCTTTTCGTCGGCCGAAGACGACCCTCCCTCGTTGGACTTTGTCAACGGACCGTTGACCCTGGAAGGAGGGTAAGTTGCATTTTGGGATTGAGCAGGTTAACTACATCTGGAGAAAAAGTGAGAACGGGGGTAGTAATAAGAGCGTCGTGTTTGGCGAGTTCTCCGAAGAGTTTGGCTCAAGTTTTATGGAAGTAGGGTAGAGTAGATAAAATTAGTGGACTTGCCGTTTGAAGATTCCAATTTACCTTTCCCCTTCCACCCATTCCCTGTTGAGCCAACGCTGTTTTGAAGGAAAAAATGGTCGAATTTGGGTGTGTCGAATTAGAATCAAATTTTATAGAAACAGCCAATAGTGAGGGTGGTGAGAGGAAGTGGTAGGAGAGAGTGGTATTGGGGAGATTCTTAGAAGACCAATGGTGTGGGTTAGCATCGAGACCCCCAAACCCTGAAGGTGGCAAGGGTGTGGCAGTATTTTATTGTCCAAGTGTGCCATTACCATATCACTGAAAAAGCTTCTGCCAATGGGAAATAGCTCTGGCAAGTGGCCGCGCGTCCACTCGTCCACGTATTCGCCCACGTGCTGCAAAGTCGCAGGCCACGCCCATCTGAGCGACGAGCGAACGTTTCTGCTGGCCCAGACCCCCTAATCATGGCTCTTTCTGAGGCCCTATTGATATTTGGGAAATGCGTTCTTTGGCAATTTCGTGAAACTTTTCTTACAGGTTCATTGCCAATTACACAATCTCTTAAATGATTTCGAAGTATTTCAAAGCTTTTTGAACTTGTGAAAAGATGAGATCAACAAAGAATCAGCGTGAAACTGGGATGTATGGCGAAGCTTTGCTGATAAGCTCTAAAGCCGCTCGCATCAGCGTGCTGGAAAAAATAAGTGGAAGTGTTTGGTGCTTCTTGGTGCACGTTCAGGATACGCCACACATTTGAATTCCCTAGAAATTTGAGGCATCTGAGACGGAGTTCCCATTGCAGGCTCGCTAGTGAACTTGTCAAGCTCATTAATGTGGGACTCAATGGTTAGCTTGCTATTTCTTGTCGCTCCAAGGCAGTGGGTTGCCGGGCTGTCCAGGCAATATTCAATCCTCCGAAGCGTTCTAGCGACGTACGATACCCACGAGGGGAAGGAACGGCCCCGATTTTCCCAATACAAAATATGTGCTGACTCCACCAAAGTACACTGGTCTAACTATCACAATGCAGGAAGGGAAACGATAGCTTTCCTTACCCATTTTTGCGATGCCGGCATTTTCAACAGTGCTTGTTTCTGTGATG